CCAAGTGACTGTGGAACAAAACTACATACACGATGTCTGTCTGACGTGCATTAAAGATGCAATATGGACGAGAATTGACATTTTTTTTCGTTTTTTTCCAAGGTAAATTAACTACGCATAATCATAGGTTAGCTATTCAATCTAAGCACCGTGCATTCAAAATGTCGATAGGTTCAAAAACGACAACATGACAGCGCTGTAAAGAGTTTGTTTGTAAACAAAGTTTGAATCCGCCGCCATTGCTCGAGATACTGGTCACGTGAACACCAGCACAGAAAATGATGTCGTCATTGGGGTCAGCAGGGCATCGTAACAATGGCGGAATCAGAAGCAAGTTATGAATAATGTATTACTATCCAAACTTTGCTATCCAATAGCGCACCTGTATATTTTTTTGGAAGAAAATACCTTTACGACAGAACATTTAGTTGACACGTCTTTATAAAACACTATATTTAAATGCATTTGAGAGGTTTCCTTGATTTAACTCGACAGTTTTCTTGTCACTTATGCCTGTTTTAGACGAGAGTAGTGTATTCACAGCCCTCAACTGTGGTGTTGTGTTGGGCACCAGCGTATTCGGAAAAATATTAATATTTTTTCGATACTATTATTAGTATTACTTGCATGTATTTATTTGACGCCTGTTATAATTCTATAAATATAATGCAATGTGCGCGTGCAGTAATTTCAAAGAAGGGCCGGAGCAGGGAATTTGTAGAACAAAGGATTTTTTCGTCAGCGTGGAGAAAGTTGGTTAATAGCGAAGGTAAACAGAGGTCCGAAAGGGGAAAAAACATTGTTGGTTTGGGGGGGATATTGGCTAAGTCTGTGAGAATTGATTAGGTCTGTCTAGTTCACAGACATTTCCAGAACGCGGAAAAATAATTAATTTTAAGTGCCTTCAGTGTTCGAATTCCATGTAAACAATGCATTTACATGCGTTGCATACGATACATTTTTGCACGAGCAGTTTGTTGGTTCCCTTAATGTACATGTGACGGCTTGTTTGCCGCTTGAAAATTGAATTACAATTTTTGAAACAAAATTCTATCAGTATCATTTCAGGTGCAGCCAACGAGCAATAAATTGAAATAGTCAATTCTCTGGGACAAAATTAATTTTATGGGCCTTTTGAAGTATGCTAATTAATATAAAGGAAATTAAAAGCTGTTCATAAGCTATCCTCCACCTGAAAAACAATTTGACTCCCCCTCTGCTGACCAAATTCATCTTTCCCCTGCCCTCATTAAAAAAACAAACACTTTTTTGCCTACTCCCCTATCGCCAACTTGCCCTCCTGCTGACCAAAATTATCTTTCTCCTCCCTCTAATTAAATAGCGGTTTTTCCCCTACTGTTCTCTCGTTGTGTTGCCTTCCCCTGGGGAGGATGCTGCCCTTTCCCCACTGCCCTAAACTCATTCAATGAACACTTTCAGTACACTGTTTGAAAGATAATCCCAATTTAGTAAAAACAATATGCTAATTTGCATATGCATATTATCCCCAATAGAGATATGGCATGCAGATTACACCAATGTACATGGATTTGGAGGTCCCGGTGGCACACCCCTACCACTTTTCTAGGTGAGTACCCCCCAGGACATCTTATCAAACATATAATCCTAATTGAGACATTAGCTAAATAGATAATTTACATATGCAAATTATCCTCAACACTAACAGTTGATAGCACACAGCTGCCCAAATTTAGCAGATGTGATGCGTTTTTTATTATACTCTGTCCTAAAGGCTGTTTTGCCCACCCTGCGATATTTTTTTTCATGTAAGTACCCTACCCACTAAAAAAAGTTTCCCTGTCCTTGCATTTTTCTTAGAAATCTGCCCTGCCCACCGGGGGGGTGCGGATATTTTACGCCCTACAAAAAAAAATCCCCAGCCCTCAACAAAAATCCCTAGGAACAGTTTTTCCGATGAACAGCTCCATTGGCTGCACCTGGAGACACATGGATATTGCAAGTTACAACATAAGTCGAGTATGTGCAGCTGAATTCAACCAGTCAATCAACGAGCACTATGCACATCGACGTCAATAGAAAATGTTCCAATGTTATTCTATTGGCAAATCTTTCGTTTCAGTTTGAATTGTAATTTTTTTTTAAAAAGTATAAAAATGAAGTGAATGGTTTTTTGTTCCAAAGTGAAACAAATCCACAAGAGAGACGAGGTTGGATAAGCAAAATTTGACAACATTTACCTACCCCAGAGAGACGCACACATCCACGACACTAGAAAGGACACACACATTGAATACAGTAACTAAATGAGGTGGGTAGAAGAGGCAGTTGA